CTCCTTATGGAAAAATATTTCCAGGGCCTGTCCGGGAGTTGAACCCGGGACCTCTCGCACCCTAAGCGAGAATCATACCACTAGACCAACAGGCCGTTATTAACAAGTTTCTATTCTTATAGATTTGTTTGTTTTGCCAATGTAGAGTGAAAGTTTTATAGAAACAGGCTTGCAGCTCCTTGGGAATTATACACCGGAAAATTTTACATTCAAAGCCGGAATAATATGCTTGGATCAACAGGCTATTCGTATATTTAATGTCTGATAATCTTTGTTTGTCTAAAAACAAAAGAGTCAAAGTGGTTTGGCACCGTTCCCACCCCAGCTCCATTTCTTCATAATCTAAGTGTTAGCAAAGCTCATTTCATTACCATTTTCAATCACTAGGAGGCTGAATTAGGGGCCGGGCTTATAGAGCGACCTTTTGACCGCAGAGTCAGACAGCGTCAGACACTCTTAACTTAATAGCCCCTTCCCCGAGGGAAAGAAACAGAGTGAGAGGTAGAAATAGCCTAAGCTACGCTATCACTTTGAGATGTATTTTTTTTCTCGTCTCAATAAACATACTTGAAGAAACCGAGTCTCAAACTACACCCCCTGAGAAACAGAAGGCAGCAGAACCTCAGCAGGGAAACATCACCTTAACTACCTCCGCTGCTGAACATGGAAGGGGTATAACCCCTAAGAAAAGCCTCTATAATAAGGAGCAAATTTCCAAGGCCACTCATAGAAAACTAGGAGCCGGTAAAGCGCCAGAACTGACCAACCTGAGGTCAAAACACACAACATTGGCTGACCTGCAGCTCCCACGATGGCTTAATGATTGTAGGATGACATTTGTACTGTAAAATCGTCGTATAAAGCAGCACCAAAAAAGCTCTGCTTTCATACATACTGTATAAATAATTTATACCTTAACAAATATGTAATTGCCTGGAAACCAGAGCTAATTCATGTGAAAATGTGAGTGCCTTAACAGCACATTCATTAAAAAAAAAGAGAAATATAAATATTTCTTTACTTAGGGATCAGATGGGTTTTACCTGTGCATGTCGTAACAGCGGAACAGGTGTCATGCAAAAGCATGTAACCCCGACTCATCACCTCCCTTTAAACCTTATAAAGAAGGATCTGCTGTTCGAAGTTGAAAATACTATTTCCTAAAAGTAAATATATTTAATTTAAAAGACAAAAATATTTATGCAAATATTTATTTTCAAACGTAAGAATAAAAAATTGTTTAAATGTATTAGATGTATTATTATATTATAAATATAATGACAACATTTGAATTAAAAATATACTTAATATTTTTTTAAATATATTTTTTGTGAGCTATTATCTGCTAGACTGCAGCATCAATACGCAAGTTACAATGAAAAAAAAAATTATTGTTTCTCATTAAGTGTTTAGAGAACACTCACTTCTAGTTAGAGAGAAAGTTGATAAGGCTAACAAATTTCATGTCCTCGACAACAGTATAATGCTTGAAAGATATATATATTCAAAAGTTCATTAATCAATAATAATAGAAAATGCAAAGAAACGAAAACGCTTCTAGGGATAACTTGCGTATATTCAACATATACTTATCACATGGATTAACTCTTAGCAGTATTTACTATTTGTGCCTGCAGAATCGAGCTATTAGCTCTTGGACCCCGCCTTTCTAACCAATCTATTTTTCCTCTATCATGTCTACTACATATATTTCTCTAACACGCGCACACACACGCTGACCAAAGAGCCAGAGCTGAACCCCCAGCCGCAAGCACAACTAGGTGAACTAGGTGAGTAGAGCAATACACTGCAGCCGCAGGCAGCTTGCAGCACTTTTGTTTAAATCCCGGACCATGCTAATTATTACAGCACTACGTACATACAAGGGTCCCGATAGTACAGTGCTACCGGGACCGATGCGGGTTTTGACCGAAACGCTATGCGTATTAGTGGCTTTATAATAATAATAATAATAATAATAATAATAATAATAATAATAATAATAATAATAATAATAATAATGTATTTAGGAAAAGTGCATACATAGTTGTAGAGTTACAGTACAAACATTCTGTTTGATTTAAAGATAGAGGTAGTACATACAATACCTATAGCCACTAGTACGCATAGCGTTTCGGGCAAAAAATTGTCCAAAAATTTAGGTATTGTATGTACTAGCTCTATCTATAAATCCAACATTTTGTATGTATGTACTTTTCCTGAATAAAAATGTATTTATTTGTTATTATTTATTTATTTACAGTCGGGTTCGTTCTCGACGCACAATCGAGAATTCCGGGGTCGAATCCCGAGCGGGACAGAAATGGTTGGGCACATTTCCTTTCACCTAATGCATCTGTTCACCTACCAGTAAGTAGGTACTCAGCAGTTAGACAGCTTATTGTGGGGTTGCATCTTGGGCGGGGGTCAGTAATTCGGCCTTGACCTCAATAAAAACCAAACGTGTATGAATGCACTCTGGCTTCCTGTCCCTGGAGACAATGAATTAAATTATTATAATTATATTAAATTATTATTATTATATCCTCAAAATTCTAAAGTGTAATACAAATCCTAATCTTAAACGCTTCTTTTTTATAGTACTATATATAGTATAGTACATTTTTTTTTTGTACAAGAATGTAACAACTCTTGCTCATATTTACAAAAAAAAAGAACTAACAAAACCCATGGACACCAGACGAGGGAAAATTCCTGCATAATGTTCCACGAGTTCGACTCAACCAAAACAGAAATGCTATGAAAATATGAGGAGTTTGAAATTATGAAATGACGTCCCAAGTACAATACAATGATCAGATTTTAACCAATTTTAAAAGAAAAACAAAGTAGAACGTAATTACAAAAAAAGTCGTTTACTTAACCGCTTGGCAAGGAGAATGTCATGATTATACCAGATGTGTAAAGGATTTATATGTTAATGAAATAAATGTGCAGTAACTCAGGGCTCATTTGTGTTGAGTAATTATGACTGTGACTGCATTGAGTGGTAGCTTGCCAGGCGAGGCCACTGTAAGGAAGATAAGGGTAGATGAGTGGGTGGTACATTGTACAGTACCACCAGTCCACATCAAGGTTCATAGTAATTATTAAAGTAATTATAGTAAATAAATAGATAGTATTTATAGTAAATAACAAATTAAAATAAAGCTTTATATAGTAAAGTAAGCTTTAGGGGATTAGGCCTACACTTTTAGATAAAACAAATTATGAGAATTGCAGTTACTTTATAGTCTAAATGTATACTAAAGGATTTACAATCTGCTTTACTCTCAGTTTGGATACTGTTTGTTCTAAGATGTTACCTGAGATATTAGTTATAAGATCTATTTGATTGGTAGATTTGTTTCCAAGTCATATGTAGTGTGTTTTGTTAATGTAGATGGTGAGTGTGTGAGTGGACAGACAAATGTAAACTTTTTCTTGTTCTATATTTGTCTCGTTTAAGATGTCTCGATTAGTTTATAAGAAATTGAAGATTTGCTCATTACTGAACTGATAATGGTTAAATTTAGTAGCACCGAATAGTGACTTTGAGATTGATGACTCGATTGTGCTATTTTCTAAACCTGTTGACCAGGTACTTCATTGTAATTGCCAGATATTTGATTGCGTTAATGGAAACATAAATTCGAGGTTAGATTATTGTCGGTTGATGCCATACACAGGACTAGCTGCTCATACAGCGACTGAGGCCAGGTGAAGGATGCAACATTTGCAAGGTAAGGGAGAGAGCCTTTATATTTATACATTTTTCGTTAAAATATTTACGTAAAATCAGTTATTGCAGGCAGACCTGGTATATACTGATCTTCTGCTATTTAAAGACTCCAGCGCTTATCTACTATCAATAAGAAATAGGCATCCTTATCATATTTAACTATACCGTACTTCTGTTAAGCCAGCTAATACAACTTTAAGTTCAACCTGCGTCGAAGAGAGAGATTGTCTGTTAAGCGATGTCCAATAACAGTATCTACGGTGCCGAGGTCAGTGTACTCCCTAATCAAGACTCCACATCCTACCTATCACAACTGAACCAACACAATAAACACGTAGTGCTTTCTTAAGGTAATTTTCTAATTATACAATTATCTGTTGCATTATCGAGGATCGAACGCCCACCACACAAGCAACGAAACCGTCGCTCTACCGACTGCTTCAAGTAGATTAAAGTTGTAAGTTAGTAAACCTGTCACTGACTAAAATTTTGAGAGTTGCTTTACACTTGTAGGTTGTATGTTTCCGACTTCAGAACGAAAGTTTTCTGTGAAGGTTTAAGTTACATTGAATTCTATCAAAAATTTACGTTTGCGAAATATGTTAACTATCGTGAATGTGTCTAATTTCAAAAGTTACATATTTATTGATATAGAATTTAGTAATATAAATTATGTTCAATACATAATTCTACATTTTCACCATATAATGTAGGCCTAAATGGAAAACTTTAAGATGTTTATTTTGTGTATTTAGTTGATAATATTTGTATACATTTGTATTTCTTTACTTTATTTGTGAACAGATTCTATGATGCTGAATACGGAACACAAAGAAATATTTCCTACCGTCTTGATGACCAAGATGCATTTCCCTACCATCTTGATAGCCTAAAGATGTACGCCCTACCATCTTGATGACCTTGAATTTCCCTACTATCTTGATACCCTGAAGATGCATTTCAACAGTTTCTTCTTGATCTGACAGACTGGCTGATAAAGCAAGATAATTGTGTAACATGAACCTTGATCCCGCTAAGGCGAGGCTCGCTAAATACACACACCATCCTGCAGTTCAATTCAAGACACTTTACCTCGTTCGTTGTGAGTAACCGTCGTTAAACAATCTTGAAAAGGGTTTTGATGGACATAGTTATTACAACTTAAATTAATAACTAAACCAATATTGTTTAATTCCACTCGCAACACCCGTTACGTCTGGCAACTTGATCCGAAAAGCCTAGTCATCATTATGAAAGGGTTTCGGCGGGACGAGGCTCCGCCACTGTGCAGACGCCACCACTACCTGCTTTACAACACACGCCTGCGGCCTCCTCCTCTGTCAACACTGGTTACTCCTCCCCTGGAACACCTACCTGCACCCGGTACCCATCTGCATCAGGCCACTAAGACAGCGATTACAACGATACCGTATTTTAATTGCATTGTAAAAATTGTAGCCTATTAACACTTAATCAAGTTCGGAAGTGAAGAGGCACATTGCTAGTAAGTATATTGCAAATTCACGCATTCGTATTTCTTCAATGAATCTTAATTGATATTGTAAATACACAAAAAATTATTGTAAATACATGTTTTATATATTATATTATATATATATATATATATATATATATATATATATATATATATATATATATATATATATATATATATATATATATATATATATATATATATATATATATGTATGATTAGACTAAGATCGGAGATCTGGCAAATCTTAACAAAATGTATTGAAGATGAGCGCGTATTTTACTGTATAAGTGATAAACAAAAGACGGCACCAACCCGGAAAGATTCTTTAGCACCTCCGGGTCATTTCATGGCGTTATAACAAATATATATATTTTAATATACAGTTTTTTTTTAAATGACTTCATATTGATATCTGTACTTTACAGTGAGTAACAAAGAGACAAATGGACCGGTGGGTCAGCAGGCACCCAGCAGGCTGTCCCAGGACCTCATTACCGAGAACCACGTGCAAGCGGCGCTGACCTCAGACAAAGGCAATGACGCTCAGCTGCTGACGTGGTCCGTAAAGGACTTCACTACCAAAGGTGACAACTACGCATGCATCGTGACAAGTATAGCGGTCAATTATCGTCAAGGAGGAGAAGAGAAGAAAGTCACGTATGTAGCCAAGTGTAATCCGTGTCGTCAGATGTTATCCTTCAACAAATTTACTAACGTAATATTTCAGAAGGAAGCCGGATTTTACACGGATTTGGTGCCTTTGCTAAACGACCAACTGAAGCGCGCCGGACAACAACCATTACGGGTAGCCCCCTGCTATTTCTTCCACTTGGAGGAAGACGAGGAAGTCATAATTCTTGGAGACTTACGTCCAGAGGGTTACAAGATGTTTGACCGCAAGAAAGGAATGAACAAGGCACACGCCGTCCTGGTGTTGCGGGAGCTGGGTAGGCTTCATGCCGCCTCCATCTTGCTTCAACACGAAATTTCAGAAGATCTGGGAGCTAAGTACACATACCTTCAGAAAGATTTCCATTCTTTCTATGAAGACGCTTCTGCAGACTTCGTTAAAATGATCGGAGGAGCATTCACCACCGCAGCGAACATGGCTGGTAAAATCGATGGGTACGAGAAAGTGGCTTCCTGGCTGAGGGACTTCGGACCGAAGAGTATGGACGGTTTAGCTCAACAGTTAGAAAACAGTCCTCCATTTGACGTCCTTTGCCATGGTGACTCTTGGAACAATAATATTTTGTTCAGGTAAGCTATACCTGTTTGTCTATATAAACAAAACGTATATAAACACGGCCCTTGTTCATTTGATTTATCACGCTATTGTGATTTCTGTGTGTAATTAGTCTATATAAACATGTGACACTGGTTAACACGCAAACGCCGAAACACTGTCCATAATGTTCTTACAGCTCTTAATTTTCAGCCTTCCAGTGTTTTCGAAAATAGTAACCTATCTTTCTTTCTCTCATATATATATATATATTTTCATACGAGGCAGCTCCTATTTATAACCACCCAATCCCACTCATATACATGTCCAATCCACTAATAGCTTGTATTACGAACATTCATGCATTGATTCTTTGGTTTTAAATTCTTACTAATCAAAGCTTACCTTGCAGGTATGATGAGCAAGGCCTCCCCGTGGATGTCAGACTCTTGGACTTCCAGATATGTCGCAAAGCTTCCCCGGCCACCGACCTCAATTACTTCATGTACACCAGTTTCAACGGAGACGACAGAAAGGACAACTTAGACGTGTTCATAAACACCTACTTCGACTCCGTGAAGAAGGTGATGGAGGCCGGCGGTGCTGGTGTTGGGTTCACAGTTCAGGAACTTCGTCAGGAGTATCACAAGAAGAACCTGTTTGGGTTAATCATGGCGATGATGGTCGTTCCTCTTGTGGTTAGTGAGGGCGCAGACGTGATGGATCTGGACAGTCCGATAGAAGACATGGACAAGTTCATGAAGGAGCACCAGGAGAAGGTCTCCCAGGAGCTGGACAACAACCCGCTTCTCCGTCCTCGACTGCTCGCTATATTTGATGACATGGTGGAGTATGGAATAATATCATAGGTGTGAGCCGGCTTAAACTAAAATAAAGAACAACGCTGACATCAAACTGCTTGTTAAAAACCATTCCATTATTACGAGACTCACATAATGTTTAAATTCGGTCAACAAGTACTGCATGATTACTTGCAAGTGCCAGTAACGCGTTACTGAAGAGATTACCTTAGATAATAGAGTATGTCAGGAGCCCCTTGCTGGACGTACTTACCTAGTTGTGCTTGTGGGGGTTGAGATTTGGCTCTTTGGTCCCGCCTCTTTACTGTCACCTAACTGTAGACGCGTGTTGCCGCGGTGAGCGCAGATCACGCAGATCAAATAAATAATTTGTGCATAACTGAGGGGTAATCCTGCACTTTAGCGGAGAGGCAGGGGGGGGGGGGGGGGTGATCACTTGGGAGGGGGCCCCAGGGCATTGGTTTACCCAGGGTTTACAATGTTGTTAAGACATTGGGTATAGTTTGGCTGTTTGATGAATGTATCATGTCCAGATGTCAGATATTCTAACTAGTATTGTGAGAGATAATGGAGACATTTAAATCTCTCAACACGTTAACGAGACGAGATCATTCGAGGCCTGCATACACCATACGTTTACTCACTGAGCATGATTATGCTTAACAGTTGGCATTATATATATCAAACTTATCGTGATGGAAACTCCGGCGTTGATCCGGGCGAATACACACCTGCCACGGGGTTAACAGTTTATTGTTGCTGTTGGTTAAGTAAGAGAGAAGCAACTCTATCACTAATCTTCAAGACATGTTTATGTATTGAATCCGGAATGACATATAACCCAAGACCCAAGCCGGATATCATTAGTTTACAGAGTGTGACAGCACACACATTCACGCTGTGAGTTTATAAATATTTTAACGGGCTATTCATACCCGTGCCACCTTTTGAGTGGCTTAATCTTTATCAATCAATCAATCTGTGAGTTTATAAGCAAACAAGTCTCATGCTGATCTCATGACCATAAACTGCACCCTAAGGCCCTATATAGAAATTAGATCACTAGCCTTGAAACTGCATCGCAAATCTGTGAATAAAATCAGCACGCTACAAATGTAAATCAAATGACATGTAGAACATTGAGCTATGTTCCCCAACCTGTTATGTGGCTTTGTATTCTTCATGTCGAGTATAATTAACAAAACTGTGAATAAACTGTTGGTGTATATGTTAACAAACGCTGCTGTAACCAGCTCATCACTGCTACAACTTGCTGAGGTAAAAGAATGTTGGGATTCAGTTCCCGAGTCCACTATGTGCCTCCCACTCATTGTTCCCAGTCACTCGCAGTGTGGGTATGTGGACCCATACCAGGATGGACTACCACTAAGATGATGAAAGAAAAGGCAGCATAACGATACAGACTAGAAAGTGAAGGGACGACGACGTTTCGGTCCGTCCTGGACCATTCTCAAGTCGATTGTGAGAATCGGCTTGAGAATGGTCCAGGACGGACCGAAACGTCGTCGTCCCTTCACTTTCTAGTGTGTGGTCTGGTCAACATATTTCAGCCACGTTATTGTGACTCCTCGTCTGCATAACGATACAGAAAAAGTGACCTGCTGGTGTAGGGTTTGACTCCTGCTGCGAGTGCGAGGGTTTCCTACATAGTTCCTGGTAAACGACTAATTTCAATATGAGGAAGAGAAACAACCGACAAAGCTAAGTGTAGAACCAATTTGGCATGATGTTTAGGAGTAGTATTCCTGCTTTGCTTGTTATCAAACAAGACGTTTTTGCTGTCAAACGTTGAAAAGATTAAATCTATTTTTAATACACTTCTTCTAACCGTATAAGCATAAGAGACAATTCTATGATTCCCAAACACAGTCTAGTCATTTTTCTATCAAACATTTTATAGGATGAAAAAGTAACGAAGATTATCAAACAAGAAAATGACAGCAATGTAGTTGTTGGTCTCGGCTGGATACGTTTCCCTCCTCAAATGCAGCAGTTCGCGACTTTAATTCCAAGGATGATACACACCTGTTTTCTATAAACCTTTCCCAGTACACCAGATAAATCTATAGGACTAAGAACTCTTTAATCGACGGCCTGTTGGTCTAGTGGAATGATTCCTGCTTTGGGTGCAGGAGGTCCCGGGTTCAAATCCCGGACAGGCCCATAATATTATATAACAGGAAACCTTATTTACTCAGTCAATAGTATCATCACTATCATCAATTTTTTTTGGTTGATCAGTGAGAGTCTAGGGAAATATGAGAAAGGTTCTGGGCTCAACGTTCGGACAGGCAATGGACATTTATAAATGATAAGACTTAATTTTCTTCAGGATATCCACATAACGATACATTAAAAAACTGTTGTCTGTTCGATTAGAGATTTGATTTCGGATTCAACAAATGGTAAATTTTTAATTGGCATATCTTCAATAAGAGGAAGAAAAATCAACATCGTCAAATGCAGAATAATTTTGTCGTGTTGCTTAGATTTTTGTTTTAAGTGCAGCTAGGAAGTTCTTGTTTTCAAATTCTTGATTGAGACAAATCAGTATTCTATTGTAAACATTTCTTCACACCGTGTCAAGATATGCAGTCGCCATGCTGCTGGATGAAAAGTGGAAGGAAACTTTTAGAAAAGGCAGCTTATAGGAAGGCAGCTGACATGGATGCCCCCCCCCCCAACTAGCTAGGAAAGAGGTGGAACTATGCTCTCTTCCGGGCGGGCCTCTTTAAGCAAGATCAGTCATGGTATGTAATACAAAGTAATCAGACTGAGAATGGAGGAGTACCTGGGAATGACGAACATTGTAACTAAAGGTCAGCGTAGATTTAGAAGAAACGCTGAGTGTACTAGTGACTTTAGGCATAGTATATACTAGCTCATCTGGAAATCCAACATTCTGCTTGTAACTCATTTTGTATGTATGTACTTTTACCTGAATAAACATTATTATTATTATTATGTTACAGTTGTGCTTGACAAACAATGATAAAGGATTGGGGAAACAAATGGTTACTAGAGTTCAATCCCAACAAATGTAAAGGAATGAAGATGCGGAAAGGAGAGGACCAGGTCGCATCTACACCATAAGGATAAAACAACTACATGGACTAGAATGAGAGAAATATTTAGGAGTAGATATAATTCCAACACTAACACCAGAGGCACACATGAATAGGGTAACATCGTCAGCACATGAGACGCTGCCAAACATTAGAACGTCGTTCAAAAACCTAAACCGGAAATCTTTCAAGGCAATCTACGCAACTTTTATTTAAAATTAATGCAAGAATATGAAACATCGGTTTAGAACCCGCACATATGAAGTCTAAAACTAAATTGAAAACTTACGAAGCTTTGCAAGAAGATTAGTGCCAGAGGTAAGAGAGTTACGCTATGAGGATTGGTTAAGGGAACAAGACCTTACAACCAAAGAGGACAAAGAAAAAAAGGGAATATGATGATAACGTAGGAGATACTGATGGGAGGGGGGGGGGGTAGAATGGTGGAGGATAGGCTCTATAAATTAAAGGAAAGTGGGACACGAGGATGTAAGTTGAGGCTGGAAATGGAAATAAATTGAAGAACGTTAAAGAAATAATTGTACCCTGTACGTGTGATCAGCAATTAAATTGAACTGAAAGAAGTTCAAAAATTTTATTCAGGTAAAAGTACACACATAGATAAAGAGTTACAAAAGTCGTGAAAGTCATCGCCATTCACAACTTTATGGACAGATTCGCAAATAATTCAATTTCAGAATACTTAAATTATAATGAAACAAGTACAAAACGGTTAGTAGGCGGGGAATAAAGAGGCTGACGTAGACGCTTACCTTTAGGTACTGATTAATAAGTAAGTTTACCACCTGATAGAACATCCCATACCAGCCACTCAACCCAAAAGAAAACGCAAAAGAAAATTGCACTCTTAACCGTATACTAATGTAAACTCAGGGTGCTCTCTTCACCTCTCCCAGTACAGTTATTCTCCCAGTTAACCGAAAGAAGTAAAAGTAATTTAACTGGTCAAAGGGCACGATTCTTGTTTCTAATGTAGGAGGAACCCGCGTAGATGTTATGGTTGTCGTTTACAACTCGTCTTCCGCTGCGTCCCGGGAAAGTATCCATCCCTGCCCTTGACCAACATGACTGCGATATTTTGCGTCTTGCTTTCTCTCTCATTGTGACAAAACGTCTCGTCGTCCGAGAGCTGTAGCCATACAGCGTGGAGATTAGTAGATTTAACTTAATATGATTGACAAACAGGAGCCTTCTGCACCAAAACTATGAACCATATTCCTACACAACTCGACGGAATTGATCTACCTTGGCCTAAATTGATTTATTTTACGTTCTAATATGAATTAATGTTTATAACTGTTACATGATCAAGACTTCTCGTGCCCTAAACAGTAATTCTACTCCTAATAAAAATAGTCGGAGATTTATGTTTTCCTGTTAAACATGTGGGCTTCTCTGTTGCCCTCGCAGAAGTGTTGAACAGTGTTCTGTTCTAAAATAAGCAAGGGCCTGTCCGGGATTTGAACCCGGGGCCTCCTGCACCCAAAGCAGGAATCATACCACTAGACCAACAGGCCACAGATTTGATGTATGTTCTTATCTTGTTATCTCTTATATCCTGATGAGGATGGCTCAATGAAAAACTTTCCAGGGCCTGTCCGGGAGTTGAACCCGGGACCTCTCGCACCCTAAGCGAGAATCATACCACTAGACCAACAGGCCGCTGTTACGAAGTATCTTAGTCTTGCATGTTTTTCATCGTGCTAATAGTATATGTGAACATTTCTTTGAAAACTGTTTTGCACATCTGGTCTATACAACTCACTCCCTATATAACGAATTGAAAGCTGTCTAACCTACGCCTTATTAAAAAATAAAGCCAAAAAATACTAATTTCATCCTCATAGTTTCCTACCTGGTGCCTTAAACTCGCAATGTATCTTGTGCTACCCACTTCCCCAATATATGTCTAAGCCATTCAACGTCGCCATTGTAATCACTGCTATCATCTTATATCCCGAAACGCTATGCGTATAGGTATAGGTAT